CACTGAGGGGCTCGGTCATCGAGGTGGGTACTCAGACGGCAGGAAGGCTATGGTCTGAAACTAGCCCATCGACCTGAATGCACCGGTATATATATGAGCGTGTTTTGCGTTATCTTTTTAGTTACACAAAGACTTCGCATACGTAGAGACTAGCAATCTCCTTCTTCTTCTTCTTTCGCTCGCCGGGCCGTGGCTGCGCAGGCGGCGGCGCGGGGGCTCGTCTGGCTCTTCTGTCGTCGCCCTACGACGCTTGCGGCCGCGGGAGAGGCACTGGACGACAAGGTCAGTAAAGCTCTTCCAGGCGTCGCGGTCGGCGGCAAAGCTACGCTGATGTCAAGATCCTCGGAAGACCCAGTCCCACGCGGAGGAAGTCCCACGCGGTACACGCATGCGCGAGCTCGCGATCGACTAGCTGCTAAATAGCCCATGCTTGGGCAGCTGGTCGATGTCCGGGCGAAGCCCTCAGCGGACGTCTTGCTCGGCACGATCCTCTCAATCTACTCTGGCTGGCTGGCTTGCGGCGCACCGAACGTGGCTAAAGGCTCCGGCGGCCGGCCACCAGCGAAAGCGCGTGCCCCGGTACCCAGCCATCCTGAGGCGATTCTTGTAGCAGCAGATGCGTTCTTCGCGCCCATACCGACGAAGCGCGTGCTGCCCTCTCGGCTCTGATCGAGACGCACGCTCTAGTTCCCAAAGTTCTCACGGCGCAATGACGTATTTGCTCGTTGCGGGGACACACCGACGACCCAGACCAGCACAAAGCTTGAGCCAACGTGTGCTTGGTCGGCGAGACGCATAAGAGCTCGCAACTGCACGAGGCGGTGCGTCGATTCAAGGCCGACACAGTGTGAAGCACCGTTGCAACGTGCAGTGCAAGATCGACAAGCACCAAGGCCGCCGTTGGCGCGTGCAATCACGCGTCGGTGCCGCCTCTCTTGCAGCACGACGCCGACATGGGTCTCGCTCGTGGACGAGACCCGGGACGGCGCACGACCTCGTTCTTGGTGTGCGGTGGCGTACGTGGCTGGCGGCTTTCAGCCGACTTGGTGCCCGCAACCCGCCAGTTGCGCTGTTGCGGTCCTTGCATTCCTCTGGCGTGTGGATACATTCCACTACAGTTCGTCTGCAAAGCCGGGCCTGGCGGGAAGGTTAAAATTATAGTTTCAGGTGCAAACGTTTGATCTTGCCTCGTCGTGCTTGCGTAAAGTAGATGTACGCAAGGCGCTCTTGGAACGAGGCGCAAAGCAAGGCTCGGTATACACATCGGCATGTTGGGTGTGGCGATGTGGCGGTCGCGCTTGTCACTTGTATTATCCGGACGACCGGATATTCGCGTCAAAGATCCAAAAAAACCAGGCAGGACGCACGCAATGACGAGTAGCGCCAACGACGCCGCTGCCAGCACCACTACAGCCCGGCGCGCGGCAGGCGCCGGCCGCGGCTTCACGCTCCGCAGCACTCTCAGCTCGCTGCCCAGCGGACGCGACAACAACGACAGCATGCGCAACAACAACAACGACAGTACTGGCAACGACGACGACGGCGCCGCAATGCTTGCGCTGCTGTTGGCCAGCACAGACGTCGACGTCGACATGGGCCTCGGCCACGAGATGGGTCACGGCGCGGTCGCCTCGCCCAACGCTTCACGGCCGCTCGTCGTCGATACGGGCAGCGCCCACAACAGCGGCGACGACATCGCGACGAATAGCTGTCACTGCCAGACACGTAATGCCGTATGCAGGACCCAATGACTCATTTGACAACAGAGAAAGATGAAGATTGCATGCATCGTAGTACATTACAGACATTATGATCCATTTTGTCGTCATGGATAAGCATATGATCAACCGATCTGCGTATTCATATTGACTTAGACCGCGCTGTAGACATTGTTCGGTGCTTGCTGCCGCGACACAAAGTACCCAATGACAGCGCCAACGAGGCAGCCGCCGACGCCGACGATCGCCATTGACGTCACCGAATAGCCCGAGGCTGCATTCGTCAGTGAGGTGGCACTGCTTTCTTCGATCTTTGCTTCTGTCACCGAGCCATTTGTCAAGCCGGTAGGCCACGACAAGGTGCCGTTGGGGCCGCAGATGGCGTCGTCCGTCGCAAAGGCCGTCATGTTTAAGAACGTCTCGATTGGGCAGAGCTCTGACGTGCAGTGGGGCACCGGCAGCGGCTTGCCGAGGTACGTGAGGCGGAAGAAGAAGCTGCCGCCATCGCGCGCGTAGAGCTCGAGCGTCACGTGGCTTGCGTACGGAACCCACTCGGTGAGGTACACGTCGCCACCGAGCGCGGCGAGCAGCGGCATGAGCGTCGAGTCGTGCACTAACACCAATGTCAGATCGTCATGTCGTCAAGTTTTGTCGTCCAACATACCCGCCGAGAGCACAAACCGTGGGCCGCGGCCCGCCAGTGCAGCTTCAAGACGGGCGCGGATGAGCGCGACAAACTGGGCGCTGCCCGTCTTGGCGTAAATGTTGTTCTTGTAAAAGTACGGGAGCAGCGCGGTGGTCTCGGCGCGAGTGGCTGCCTGCAGAAAAAAGGTGCTGTTCATTTGGCCCGGCAGACGCTTGTCGTTGCAGCGCTGCGTGAGGAGGCAGTCAAAGCCGAGGTCGTCGTTGAAGCCAGGAATCGTCGCCTGCAGCTGTGCCCGGATCGCCTTGTTGGTGCGGTTGGTGTTCCACGCAGCGGCCTCGGGCGACGCTGCCCACGCCTTGCTCAGCGCAGTGAGCGCCGGGCACGTCGTCGGGTTGGGGATCCAGTGCGAGACGGCCATGTCGCTCGTGTGCCACGGCACAACGACACGCTCGCTCGCTGCAAACATGTTTTGGACGACAATCTACACAGTCCATAATGAATGAGGCGCAAGGCCGCAACAACGATGTGTGGACGGACCTGGCCCGACCCAAGCGTCCGGTCGAGGTCCGTGCTCTCAAAGTACACATCTACACAGCGGTATTACATATGGGAGCGACACCAACAATGGCGGTGAAGCATCTACCTGCGGTGTTGGTGAGATCGATGGCTTCGTCGGCTTGGAAGAGCGCGAGTGGGCCCTGGCCCACGTACGCCTTGCGAAAGTACGCGCCGTTCTGCTGCTGCTGCGTGTAGCCTTCGTCGATGAGCTGCCCGAGGAGGCAGTTGCCACGAAAGACGTTGGCGCCGTCGACGTAGATCTTGTCAAAGGTCAAGGACGACGGCACGCTGCGTGACGCGTGCAAGATTGGCGCCACTTGGTCGCGCAGGTTGCAGTTCCACACCTCCTTGTAGTCGGTCCAGCACTTGGCGCCGCTGTACGGCGTGCGCGCGCCGTGGCGCACCATGATCTGCACGTGCACGAGCTTCATGCTCGACGCCTGCGGGTCCGCCACGGGCTGGATCGCAAACTCCGACATGTCCTTGGCGCAGTAGCGCGGGTAGCCCGACGCATCGATGGCAAAGCCGGCGGCGGCCGCGACGGTCAAGGCGGCGGTGAGCGCACGGGGCACGAGGAGCATGGCACCGAGGTGGGCAATGACTAACTGACCACAGTCGCTGTGGTTTTCCGAGCTTGCACGGTGGGACTCAGTCCTGGATGATCGCAACGCGCACAAAATGTATTTACGATCGATTTGTGTCGACACAAATGAATGGATAACATACAAATGCAGCGTCGATGAGGTTTCGAATTGCGACCCATTTCAATATTATCCGGATGCAATGGCTGCGGTACCGGTACGGTGCTCATCGTGGGTGCACTTCAGCACCCAACGTCCTTTGGGTTCACTGCCGGTTTTCGACACCGTAGCGACTTGGCAGTCGTGGATCACTGGGTTTTGCTGCAAAGGTGCCGAACATTATCTTCCTATGGGCTTTGCGCTTCCTGAACCGCTCGGCTGCGTCTTGCTTGGCGAGCTCGGTCCTCTCGTGCAAGACCTCCAGTACTGTGGGTTGTCATGCGTGTCGTGACCTTGTTGACCATCAAGTTGGGCTGCTTCAGAGGCAGTATATATATATATGAACGTGTTTCGCGTTATCTTCATAGTTACACAAAGACTTCGCATCCGTAGAGACTAGCAATTCAGAGGCAGTATGGCTCCGGAATCGCCTCGGCGCAGTAGAAGACCGTGGCGGCAGCAATCTGCGCTTTTTCGTCGCTGGTCGTGTCACTTGTTGAGCGAACGGTCGATCGATCGACTCGGATGTTCCGACGTATCGGCGCCACCAAGGGTAAGCTTTTTTATTGACCCTTGGCGCCACGTTGAAGTGCGCGGGCCGTGCGCCACGCAATCCACGCATATAAGTGGTAGATATCTTAGGATTTCAACGCCATTTTATCCAATCCAGTGCCATCAAAGACCAATCCAAACACTTCAAGTTGGACCAGGATTGGCCATAATGCGAGAAGATGCGCCGCGGATTGGTCAAAATTATCGTGCCTGATCAAGGCAAAGCCCAATTCGGCTCTGTCGCAGCTGTGCGGATGACCGAGCCCGACTGCAAGACGCTCTGGATGGGCGACGTCCAGATCAACTGGGACGAGGCCTACGTGAGCTCGCTCTTTGACGCCGTTGGTACGACGACGGCACCAACTGTATCGTCCGTTCACTGCTGCAACGTACTAGGCCACATCCCAGTCGTCAAGCTCATCCGCGACAAGGCCACGGGCTATCCCGCCGGCTACGGCTTCCTCGAGTTTGACTCGCAAGAAGCAGCGATCGACGTCTTGGCAGCGCTCAATGGACAGCCGATTCGTACGCGCCGCCACATCGACGAAGCCTCATAGCTGTGCCTCGTAGCCAACACGCCGCACCGATTTCGCCTCAATTGGGGCGCGGGCGGGAAGCGCCTCGAATACATGCAAAAACACTCGATCTTTGTGGGCGATCTCGCCGGCGACGTCACGGACGACGTGCTCTTTGCGACCTTCTCGGCCAAGTACGCGTCCGTGCGCGGCGCCAAAGTCGTGCTCGATCAGATGAGCCGCATTTCCAAAGGCTTTGGCTTTGTGCGATTCGGCGTCAAGGCCGAGGCCGACCAGGTACTACACGCCATTGTGCATCTCCTACGACCACATTATGGGATGCTAGGCGCTGCTGCAGATGCACGGCGAAG